TGGAGCATGCACCTACTCCACATCACATTTAACAGCCAAGGGGGCCATTTAGCCTTATTCTTTCTCATTAGTTTCTCTTCCCTAGAAACCAAACAACTGCACACACACAAAAAAGTATCTATTCCAACCTCCACACTACGAGTCCACTTGGCAAGAAATCGAAAGACGGAAAAGAGGTGTCTAAAGAGAGAGTTTCCACTTTGGTTCTCATATAAAAATAACTGACTAGGTAGTGCTTACAGCTTGCCTAATACACAAAGAATACCTCACCATATTCATTGGGTCTATGCTTAGGTTTTTCTTTCTCTCCCCTGCAGTTGCACAAGTTGTAGAATGGAAGCTCTGAACAGCTCAATTAAAGATAAAGTCATGTCAGGGAATAATGCTGGCTAAGTCAGGCTGTTTTTGAGAGATTTCAGAATAAAGTCCTATTTTTTGACCTTGTGCCCTATACCAAATGCGCACACATGCACACACATATACATTTATTTATTTATTTCCTTTCCTTCTTTCCACCCCTGCTGGATCTTCCATCTGCTACTGCAATATGTTTCTTCATTTATTTCAAAAAAGAAGGACTATTCCTGCACTGACAGAAGGACAGTCGTAGCCCTGGGAAAAGAGGGAAGGCAGGGGTTGGCTAGCCAAGGCAGCAGAGTCAATAACAGTCACAAGTGACAGGAATCCTGAGTTCCCTAGTAAATGTCCTAATGGTTTGGAGGGAATTCATAAGACCAAAAATTGGGGAGTTCTCTGGAAGAAGAGAAGTTTAAAAGATGGTGGTGAGTTGATCATGTCTTTCTGAGCATTTCACCCCTTCGCTGTGTGACATTGTGCTGGTCTCCTTCCTGCCTCACAAACACCTTCCGGGAACAGTTACATGAGTAATATCTATTCTCTTCCCCACGTATTCTGTCGCCAATCATGTCATGGCTCCCAGGAGACAGAAGTCATTATTTCTATCTGAATGCTTTGGGACTCCCAGCGCTGCCTGAAGAAAGTCCCATATAGACTATTCCTCATTACTTTTTGCAAGGGCAATGAATGCAGACTACAGCGTGTAGCATTAAGGGATGAGAGCACCATCAGCCTGCTTCCCCAAACCTCCAGCATCTGGAAAAGCTGTATGTGATACACACAGCTCTGGAAGTGGGTCAGAACCACTAGATGGTTTCTGGGAAAAGCACTCCTTTGGGATTTCAAAAGATCTGTCCCTGTTTCCGTTCCCTCCGTGGAGAATGCCATTCGTAAAAACAAGGTTCTGCCCAAACAGTTTCTCTACAGTAGAAGCATCACTCTAATCCTCAGTTTTCTCATTCTCCTCAACTCCCTCCCTTCCCTTGAATTCCTTGACTTTCCCCTTCATCTTTTCCTCCTCCTGCTCTCACCCCCCTCCAGTTCCTGGGCACCGCACTGCGCTTCAAAAAGGATTCTAGGATTCGCTTGTAGAAAGTGCTGACGGGACGGGAATTCTATGCAGTGCAGAGAGCAAGCAGCAAGCTTTTGCCCTGCAGAGGGGAGATGAGAGTAGAGACTGAAAGAGAGTTTTGCACACGAGTGTAAATATGAATGGGGAAATCTATGTATGTAGTTGTGTAAGCAAGGGCAATCATGCCTGCATTGTGTTATGACATGCATGCATCTGTGGTGTGTGTACCAAGCTCAAGTATGTGTGTAGCCTCGGACAGAATTTGCGCTGCCAAGGAAGATTTTGTTCCATGCATGTATAAAGGCATATTTCGTGCATAGCCTAGAGCTTTTCTGGGTGCATTAGAGCAAACAGTGTATGGGGATATAAATTCATCTTTGTATGAGATATACACACACATTAATATATAAACGTGCACCCAGAAAAAGTTTTTAGTGTACAACAAACATTTTATATAGAATGTGCTATGAAAGGGAGTGTGTAGTTGTATTTAAGTGGAGATATATGCAAAACTTTGTTTGCACCTTAATCTGCAATTAAACCAACTTAAATGTAATTGAAATTGGTAAATACAATTCCATTCAACACTGACCTTATTTGTACTGTAGGTAGATCGGCATTTGTACTGTAGGTGCGTGTGTAGAGCCGCAGAGAGATATGGACATGCACCCATGTTCTGTAATTTTCAAAGTGAGTTGTGGAAGGAATGCATAAATAGGTATAATCTCCCCAGAACCCAAGTTCATATAGGGCCTATAAAACTGCATACTGTACTGAGATGAATGTGTTAAATAGTGGTAGGCTGGCTATGGTTGGGAGAAACCTAATTTGGGGGGGAGGGGATTGGGGGGTGTATGCATGCAGAAGAAGTTGAAGTGAGAAAGTGATTTGTGTACACTTGTACACATGAGCATTAATTCAAAGCCTGGGGGAAAGTAAGTTGAAGATTGCATGTAAATATTTGCTTGTACATGGGACATACCTCAGAGGACAATGTCAGATCCCACGTGGTGACAAAGCATTTGGTAATGATGTAGCAGCTAAAACTCCTAGACAATCAGATCTTGTGTGAGTTGTGTGTATACCAATTGGGGAATGTGAATGAATGTGAAGTGCTCAGTATATGTGCAAGGGAGCACATGACTGTTTGCGTCATTGCTGGCTTTCACTGTTTTCTCAAGGGACTAAAATAGGAGAATGGTGTAACAGAAGGCGCGTGAATGCTGAGCCTGAAATCTTAACAGAATCCTTTCTGTTCTGGGCTCATTCATCCAAATTACTGATGTTAGGATAGTTAAAGCATTCAACATTTTGCTGAAAAAGACCAGAAATTCAAGAGGGAGGAAGGAAAAGTTTTACCATCTCAAAATTACCTTGTAAGGGGTTTTTAAATCCCTAGCTTCTTCCCTAAATGGCACAATGGTTTATGGACAAGTTGCATGGTTTACAACCTATAATTCCCAGTATGAAAAAAACAAAACAAAAAAATGGAACAAAGTTGACCTCAAAAGAGCCGTGACAGGATCACTGCAATTCTGCCCAAAAATAAACCAAAACACACATCAAGGGAAGATCTGCAACCTGCATTCACTATGCAGATTAAAGAACAAATATAGTCACAAGGGAGGGAAACTTGCTTGGGGTTGGGTTTTTTTTCATATTCAGGCTCAGAGTCTCAATTCAAAATGTTTACTTTTGTGTCACCTAAGCAAATTATGTACCTGCATAATGCAACTGTCAGTGGGTGAATGCTAAAATAGGTGTTATATTGTAATAATAGATTCCTATTCCTCTAAGGAATAAAGCAGGTTCTTTTCATTCTCCCCTCCCCAGTCATTTACTGCATCAGTTTTACAAGGTAGATTGGACTGAAAAAAGAATAATTGGCCCCAAATCATGGAATGAATTTCATAACTGACCAGCTAATGGAATACAGTTTTTCTCAAGTCCACCATCAGCTGAGAATTAATGAAGAATGAGTGGCTAGCCTAGAAAGTGTCCAACCTTGGCAACTTTAAGACTTGTGGACTTCAACTCCAGAATTCTGGGAGTTGAAGTTCACAAGTCTTACAGTTGTCAAGGTTGGACACCTCTGGGTTAGAGCATTAGGCTATGATGGGGATGCCTACTTATGAATCTTTTGTTTGTTATAAAATTCCCTGGGTGAGCTTGGACTTGTAATCTCAAAACTGTTGTACATAAAGCATAGAGGAATATGGACTCAGCTCAGTTTCTTTGGAGTAACGATGAGACAAAAATGTTAAAAAAAATGAGGATATTGGGGAATGGTCATACTATAGTTCCAAGAAAAGTTTCCTTCAAGGAAGACAATGTTGTCCATCCTCTCTCATGAGGCATGCAGAAACAGGCCTGGCTATCCCTACAAGATGTTGGGATTCCTCTAGTCTCTGATGGCTTTAAATCAAATTGGGGCCTCTAAATGCTAGTCAGAATTGTGGGAATTCCATCCCAACCTAGCTGAAGGGTACCCTATTTAAGAAGGCTGCTTTAGAAAGTGACCAGACCAACCTTCAATTGATGGCTATTAAACATGATGGCCAACTATTATGAATTCAAGGAGGAGGCATTGTTTAGAGTAGAGATTTGCCGAAAACCCTGGGTCCAGTCAAATGGAAAGAAAATATTGGGAAACAGGTCCCACCAAAGAACCATGATCCAAAAAAGGGCAGACACTAACAAGCTAGAACTGGGATTGGAAAACAAACTGGATTTATTGGTAGATCTTTATAGATATGCAATAGATCAGTAAGATTTTTTTTACTTTAATGACAGCAACAAGAAAACATATATATGCAGCATACATACACAAACATGGTTAGCACCCCTGAACCATAATAAATCAGATGCAGATCAATCCATTTAATAGGTAATAGAGTGCACAAATGGAATGCAATAAGCAGATAAGCCACCATCTCAGGATACTACTTAAAATAGATCTCTGTAACATAGGGGTTGATATACAATAAAACAGAGAAATGAAAGAAAAAATAATTATTATTTATTGCTACATAATTTTGTAGGTTTTTTTCTTCCAACGGCTATTAGACCTGTCTTAGATATGTTAAAATGGCAGAAACGACTGCAGGGGATGGGATATCATTTTTAAATGCAGATCCCTCCATTTGCTAAAAAAAACTTTTTGCATAAGAAGAAAACTAGGCTAACACATCAATATCTAATCTAATTGTCTAGGTATAGTATGAAGATTTTTTAAGTGGGCCACATTTTAAAAAATGAAATATGTCCTTCCCTTTTACCCCATACCTGCTTTCCCTCACTAACATTTGGGTGGAGAGGAAGAATAAGTAGGGTATTTTCTATCTCTTGGGATATTCTTAACAGCTATTTATTGAGGAGGGGGCAGTTATTGGGAAGGGACTGACTTTTGTAGGGTAAGTTCTTCCTTTTCTGGAAGAGTTTGTTCTTTTACAATTATGAGTTAGCACTAATGTTTTCCTTCCCTGTCCTTTCCTGTTTGACATTCTTGTCTCCCTGCTGTTCCTCTCTGTCTGCTTCTTCCCTGTACGCTTGTCCTTCTGCATCTCTCCAGTATGTGGCCTTTGCCTCCCTCTTCTTCATCCTCATCTCCATCACCACTTTCTGCTTAGAGACCCATGAGACTTTCAATCACTTCAAAAACAAGACAGAAATCATAAAGACGGGGAACAGTACCAGCATAAAGGTGGACTATGAGATGGAAACAGAACCCTTCCTCACCTACGTGGAAGGGATGTGCGTCATCTGGTTCACTTTTGAGTTTCTCATCCGCGTCATCTTTTGCCCAGACAAAATGGAATTCATCAAGAGCAGCCTCAACATCATCGACTTTGTGGCCATCCTGCCCTTCTACCTGGAAGTGGGCCTCAGTGGCCTCTCATCCAAAGCAGCCAAGGATGTGTTGGGCTTCCTGAGGGTGGTAAGATTTGTCCGGATCCTAAGGATCTTCAAGCTGACCCGGCATTTTGTAGGACTGAGAGTCCTAGGTCACACACTAAGGGCCAGCACCAATGAGTTCTTGCTCCTCATCATCTTCTTGGCCCTAGGGGTCTTGATCTTTGCCACCATGATCTATTATGCTGAAAGGATCGGTGCTGACCCAGACGACATAACGGGCAGCAAGCACACTGTCTTCAAGAACATCCCCATTGGGTTTTGGTGGGCTGTAGTGACCATGACGACTTTGGGCTATGGTGATATGTATCCTGAGACTTGGTCAGGCATGTTGGTGGGAGCACTGTGTGCCTTGGCTGGTGTGTTGACCATTGCCATGCCTGTGCCAGTCATCGTCAACAACTTTGGCATGTATTATTCGCTGGCTATGGCCAAGCAGAAACTACCAAAGAAAAAGAACAAGCACATCCCACGAGCCCCCCAACCCGGCTCACCCAACTACTGCAAACCGGACATGCAGTCCCCTCATCGCAGCAACCAGGGTGACTCATGCCCCCTGGCTCAAGAGGAGATAATCGAGATTAATCGGGCAGGTAAGGGGGAGACAGGATGGGCAGAAATAGTGAAAAATTACATCTATGTGAGTCAAATCTATATGCTCTTTGTGATTCTCAAACATTCTGGCATCTAAAGATACTCTTCCTGCTAAAAATATAATACTATAGGGAGGGAGGTACAAGTAGTCCTTGACTTACAACCACAATCGTGACCAGAATTTCTGTTGCTAAGCAAGGTGGTTATTGAGTTGTGCCCAATCTTACAACCTTCTTTGCCTCGGTTAAGCAAATCACTGCAATTGTTAAGTGAATCACATGGTCGTTAAGCAAATTCAGTCCCCCCCCCCTTTATTTTGCTTGTCAGAAACTGGCTGGGAAGATCACAGTTGGCGATCACATGATCCCAAGATGTTGCAACCATTGTAAATACATGCCGGTTGCCAAACTCTTGAATTCCGATCATGTGACTGTGGGGATGCTACAATGGTCCTAATTGTGAGGATCTGTTGTAAGCCAATTTTGCCTGAATCTTAAGTTCAAATAATTGCTAAATGGATGGTTGTAAATTGAGGACTACCTGTACACAGAACCAGGTAGATTGAGGAGGATTCCTGAGTATCTTAACAAAGCATGTTTTCAGTTCACATGGGCTTTTACCTATGTTGAGTCTCACTTTTGTACCTCTTAGTAACAGTGGAGCACACCCAAGAATTATTCATGTTTCCCAGCCTTTCTCAAGCTGGCTGGAGGTGAAGAGGGTTGTAGCCCAACAGTGTCTGGGATACCAAGTTTGCCCACAGGTGCATATGCTAGTTTGGGGCTATGTATTGCTAGAAAGATTAATAGGGGAGGTTTTCCAGGTGAGCTTACCAGAACATTGATGCTTCTCATTGAAAACATCTTGGTAAATGTGTGATAAAATTTTAAGTCAAAAAGTCAGCTACCAGGTGCTTGTAGGGACCATAACTATCATCCTCAGAAAGTTATGTGTGAAATACCTCAAATTACATTAGTCTTTTTAAAAAAAAAAGATGGCTGAAAACTTGTGGGATTGTAAACATCTGGCAAGATTTAAGTGCAGTTTTGCCTAAGAATGCTACACTCATAAAATCATGTATCAAAAGTTCATGCAAGAGTTTACAGCTTTGTATCACTATTTCTAAAATAGCTGGATTTTTAAAATTATTATTCACTCTGCTTTGGAATGGAGTTACATAATGCCTTAGGTTGCTAACTATAAAAAAGAAACAATAAGAGCAAAAAGATAATGTCCTCTGTATGTAAGCATATATAAGTACATAGTGCTACAGTACAAGTTCCTGTTGGTGTCTCAAGTGCAAAAATTGGAAATGCATACTCTGCATAGAATTTCTTCTGTGAGAAACTCTGTTTAATTTTTTAAAGCAAATTATTACCCCATATTCCCCTTTAAGTGAATCCCTGCCTCTCCATATATTGCTAAAATTCTTCATTCAACCTAGGCAATACTAATAGATGCTGGGAGGAGTTGTTTTAATTCAGAAACATCTGGAGACCATATCTATTTAAGATCATGAAGGCATAGGTGGAAAGATCTTGCGGAGTAAGAGACACAGAATAAAATTTTCAGTGACTCAAAGATGATTTTTTTTAGTTCCTTACATTGCTTCCAAGGGTGGTTCCTTTGTCCTTCCTATGCTTGACAAGATTTTCAAACAGTGACATAAATGTCCTTGGGATTCTCTTCCTCATTCTTCCCTTGCACATTTCTTTCTTTGTAGCAAAGAAAGTAACCGCCAGCCACTGAGCTGGTCCGAAGGATTGTGAATGATGGAGGGAAACCCTCCATCTGTATGATGTCATGTGACCTTGAGGAGGGACTCAGGAAATATGAAAAATAGGGGGCAGGACAAGTTGGGAACTACTGGCAATGGAAAGCCACTTGGCCTGTAGCTCTTCAAAACACTTCCAAACTATCCCTCCCAGAAATCTCTCTGGAGTATCTGCTGAGCTAAGAGTTAATCATCTCATGTGAGAAGATCTTCACGAGCCACAATAAGATGCAGGCAAAGAAGGTTGACTGCAATATTGGATTGGTGCAGCCCTTACATATATGACTTTGCCCTTCTCAAGGCATTAAAGAGGAAACGTTTGAAGCTTCTATTTTCCTGTTAATCAAAATCATTTTTACACGAAATTAAACATGTACTCTTATTCAATAATAAGTAATATTCAATAAGTTCAATAAATAATATGAGACCCTCTCATCTGCGTTAAATCTAGCCTGATTTACATTCGGATGCTTGGCAACTGATTCATACTTATGACATTCACAGTGTCCCAGGGTCATGTGATCACCTTTTGCAACTTTTTGACAAACAAAGTCAATGG